TCATTTTTCCCTCCCCTCAGCCCTTGTAACCACCATTCTGCTTTTTGTTTCTATGATTTTGACTACCCTGTATACCTCACATAAGTAGAAATCATACAGTGTTTGTCTTTTTGTCACTGGCTTGTTTCAATTAACATAATGTCCTCAGGGTTCATCCATGTTATGACATGTCAGAATTCCCTTCCTTTTTAAGGCCGGAATAATGTTCCATTGTATGAATATACCACATTTTGTTTATCCACTCATCCATTGATGGACACTTGCGTTGCTTCCTGTTTTAGCTATTGTGAATAATGCTACCATGAATATGGGTATATAGCTATCTCTTTCAGACCGTGCATTCAGTTCTTTTCGGTATATATCCAGAAGTGGAATTGTTGGATCATAAGGTACTTCTACTTTCAATTTTTCGGGGAAGCACCATACTGCTTTCCCTGGTGGCTGTACTGCTGTATATTTTCACCAACAGTGCTCAAGGGTTACGATTTCTCTACATCCTTGCCAATACTTGTTATTTTCTGGTTTTGGGGTAGTAGTCATCCTAATGGGTGTTAAGGTGCTATCTTGTAGTTTTGACTTCCATTTGCCTAATGATTAGTGATGTTGAGCATCTTTTTGTATGTTTATTGACCAATTGTTTATCCTCTCTGAAGCAAAGTTGTCTTACACAACTCTATATTAGGAGCATCTTCAATAAAGAGGACAGTTCTGTTTTAGTAAGCACTTAAATGTTAGTGAGTTTGTTGTTGCAGACTATATAAAGGGTGGAACTGGGGAAGTTTGACCTTAAGAAAAAAAATTGGTAGGCAGTGGGTTAGGTGGTGAGCAGACATGGGGAAATCCACACAAAGTTAATGAGAGAGAGATTTCACTTAACATGAGGAGAATTTGATAGTATTGGAATTAACTGTATTATGTTGAGTTCCTTATCTCTGGAAGTGTTTAAGTAGAAATGGGATTTCGAGGCTATAACTAAAGAAATTCCTTCATCAGACCAAATGGCCTCCAAGGACCCTTTCAGATCTGAGTTTCTGAGCTCATTTACTTTCCAAAGCATCTTCCAGCCATATTTATTTTTTTCTGTGTTTCTAATATCTATTCCAACTTCTGAGCTCAAGCTTTTCAGTGCCACAGTTTGGATTATGTAGTAACCTCCTAATTGGTCACCTGGCTTTACCTTTATCTTCCAATTCTTAACAGCTTTTTGAGATATAATTTACATACTATTAAGTTCACCTGTTTAGAGAGTGCAATGCAGTGGGTTTTTTTCAGTCTATTTGCAGAGTTGTACTAGCATCACATCATAATCTAATTTTAGATCATTTCTCATCACCCTCAAAAGAAACCTCATACCCATTAGTCACTCCTCATTGCCTCCGAACCACCAGCCCTAGGCAACCACTCTCAGTTAACTTCTTTTGTAAAACGTGGCTTTCATTGTGTTGCTTTCCAGCTAGGAGGAGTTCAGGGTCCTCCCTGTCCATATGATTAAGAAAATATTTCTCATCTGAGGTTCAGATTTTTCCGTACTCTGATTTCAGCTTATTTTTCCAACTTTGACTTACACCTTTCTCCAGTCTGAATGTACAGCTCTTGCTAGGTCCATTTAACTCTCGTTCTTGAGAGTGAGAACAGGTGCGTTATACCTGTCTTTCGGTTTCCACCATTCCTCTATCTAAGCCTGTCTATGCTTTGAGACCTAACTTGAGTCCTGCCTTTTCTATGAATCCTTCCCTGGGTTATCTTGCCTAAAATGAGTTCTCCTTTGCATATGAACTTCCATAGCACCTAGTATTATAAAACCTTCTTTTGGTAGTTTGTTGTACACTCTCATGTGGGACCCCTTTCCTTTTGTTGTTCAGCTTTTTGTGTGATTCCCTAAATTGATTATAAGCTTCATAAGGGTAGGGACTGTGACCACTTTTTCTTTATACCTTCTGTAGCTTAGCTGAGCATATGGATGTGCACAGAAATAGTATGTAAGTGTAAAGGAATGAATAGTGCCGGCACTGAGCAGAATGCTGAATTTGGACTCTGGAATAGACACAGATTTCAAAGTCTTAATAGATGTGTCCATGTTTTATATGGCTTTGCTTTGTCTAGAGCTTGATACCACATTCTTTATTAATTCATTCAATAAATGCCATTGGTGTCATACTTTGTCTATTAATTTCTCAAAACCCATTATTAATTTAGTTAACTTTTTCTTATTGCTATCGTGCATATGAATTCTCTGATCGCTTTCAGCTCAGCATTATTCTTGAAATTTCCTGCTGTTTCTAGGACTCTCTTATGGTAGATTAGTACATTACCACAGCCTCTATAGACCAATATGGTCTTTTTGTTATACACTTTATAGGACTTTGTTATTATAGGTTAGTACATAACCTCAGTCTCTATAATCCCATTATTATATACTTCCTGGTGTATCATACCATGAAAATATCATGTTCTGAGAAGTTGCAGGGTGGTGATAAGCACTATGGGAGACAGTTGCATTTCTCGAGTCACTTAATGGCTTGATTGCGAAGGTAGAATAGTACTTTTCGCTTGATACCATAGCAGGAAAGTACTACATGCTAGGTGTCAGGAGTTATACAGAAATGAGTAATACAAGCATCTAGATTCTCAAGGAGCTCACAGTCTTATGGCAGAGACTGATTTAAAAAACCTAAATAGTTATAAGACAATATCGTGAGTATTGTCGTACAGAAGTGGGTGCTAGAGTTATAGCAGCCCAAAGGAGGGATTGATTTCTTTTGCCACAGCAGAATTACAGTTTGGGAGCTGGAGGAGACCCTATACGCCCTTTGCGGACAGGATATATCTTAACCGTTTTTCTATCCCTGGCACCTGGCAGAGTCCCTGACATATGGAAGGTGATGAATGACAATAAATGAGTAAGTCATCTATTCTGTGCTGTCCAATACGGTAGCTACTAGCCACATGTGACACTGTTGAGTATTTGAAATGTGGCTAGTCGGAATTGAGATGTGCTGTGAGTGTGGAGTGCTCATCAGATTTTGAAGACCTATTTGAGAAAAAAGAATGTAAACTATCAAAATTTTATGTGTTGATTATATATGTTGAAATGCTATTTATTTGATATATTAGGTTAAATAAAATATATGATTCAAATTAATTTATCTATTTCTTTTTACTTTTTAAAAATATGACTACTAGAAAATAAAAAATTATGTACATGTTTTGTATTATACTTCTGATAGACTTTGCTGATCTCATTCAACTCTCTTAGAAATGATTTGACTAAGGTTACAAAATAGCAGAGATACCCTTAAAATTGAGACTTTACGTGTTGGATTTCTCCTAGTTTAGTGCTCTTCCTAGGCATAAATTAGTATAATGTAAATATATAAAATTTGAGGTAAAGTGACGTAAGTTTGGTCTTGTTAAGGATGACGTGATACTCTCTGCTGTAGTTATCATATCTTTGAGCTTAATAGTCATTAAATTGTTTTTCCTTTTGTATGTAAACCTTGATCTCCAGAAAACTCTGCATGTTCAGTTCTCAGTTTTTTCACACTTAGTACTTCTATTCCCATTTCTCCCTTGCTTTTCCTCTCCCCACGCTTGTATAAACAGATATACACATAGCCTCCTATTTATTCCTTCTTAATTTGTCTCCATTAACTTTCTTCAGATTATATTAACACTTTATTTGTATTTTGGGGAGATAAGCCTTTGCTGTTGCATGATCTGGTACATGGAGAGCTGGTTGGTTTAGTGGTCTTGTACGTACATTAATTATCTCACATAATCCTCTCAAAACTGCATTAAGTATAGTCCTGTTGTGGTCCTGACTTTACAGTTGTGAAATCTCAGGCTTAGAGAGGGTGGTATGTTCAACGTCACACAGCTAATTATGCACAGAATCTGTAAGCTGGAACTGTACGAAATGGCAGGAAGCCTGGGAATTTTTGCTACACACGGACAGGCCTGTAAACATTGGGGAACTCTGGGTCCATAGAGCTGAGGACTAAAGTATTAAGTATATGCCAGAAAAAAAAGTTAAAAAAAAATCGATTCCAGATTGTGTATGTGAATGAGTAGGTGCGTATGTAACTATATGAGAGAAAGAGACAAATAAGGATAGAGAGAGAAATGAATGAATGAATGAATATCATTGATTTAGAAGACTGGGTCGCCATGCTTTCATCTTTCCTGCCCTTTTCTATCTTTCCTTCCTGACTCTCTTCCCATTTCTGATAGTGGTATTACTCACCACCCTTCTTATTTTCTTCAGTTCAACACAGTTCAGTTCAAATCAGTATGCCTAAGTCCAAACAGATGTTCATTAACATGTTTACAATGGTTCTCTTTGGTTAGAGGGATTTCAGTTGATTTTAAATTTCTTTTTTATTTGTTCTCTGTATTATTTGAATTTTTTTATAGTAACGTATACAAAGAAAAACTATATAAAAAGAACAACAAAACTATTTTCATTTGGGAAAAAATCAGTATGCTGGATAGTTTTCATACCAAAATAAACCTTTTATCCTAAAATTTCAGAATCTCCTACTTGTTCTCTGCCATACCAGTGTTCTTTGGCCTCAGTTTCATAGCCTCAAGGTGAATGGTTACAGTAAGTCAGCTTTCCAAAAGCCAATGCTGTATACACCATCTCTCTGTCACAGAAGTGAGATTTCTTTTAGAAGTAACATTTATTTTTATAGCAAAGATGTTGAAGGTTTGTTGGTTTTTTTTGTGTTTTTGTTTTTTGGCAGATTGTTTTTAAACAGCAGTAGCTCACAGTGGTCACATCCTGCAAATATTTTTAAATGCTTTGAGTCTAAAGAGCCTACCTGCTGTGTTTGTGGCATAATGAGACCTTGGTTCTTGTCCAGCCTCCTATCTGATACATTTCCTTTCCAAATTACCCAGCAAGGGGTGAATTTATTTGTTGCCTTAGAACCTTTGAAAAGTCCATATTTTTCAGTTTGCTTTTCACTGTTTATTGACCTGTTTTATGTTCTTGTAAGATGCTAGTGATCAAAGGGAAGATGTTTATATTGGAAACCACATGCCTTGCCCTGAAAACCTCAATGGTTACTGCATCCATGGAAAATGTGAATTCATTTATTCTACTCAGAAGGCTTCTTGTAGGTAAGTCAGAGTACCTCCAGATCAGAGGTGAGACATTTTTTCCATCATTGGTCACTGCTCTATAGAAGGCAATGAAATGTGGATTAAAAATATTACTAAAAGGTAGTATTTATTTGCAATTGAGTTAAAAAATAAATTAGCAGCATCATTTGGAAAAAACTGGCAAGTAATATGCAAAAACAAAAACAGATGTTCTCTTAGGGTTTTGAGATGGACTTAACATTTTTAATATTATGCTATGTATTTTTTAATATAAAAATATGCCATAAACCAACATTATTCTGGTTTTTAAGCAGTCTATCACAGAGTGGTTTGAGGGACTAGAGAATGTGTTAAGAACCGAGGACGTGAAACTCAAATAAAATTTATAGTAAAATAGATTTCTAAAAATAAGGGAATGTGGATGTAGAATCAGGTGTGATATGAGAGATGGAAACAGAAAGGGTGTGAATCTTTAACTGTGTGATTCCAGAGAGGTTATGCAACTTGTTGAAACTCAGCAGCAAGTTAGAAATAGAGCTGAGACAAAACTAGGTCTCAAATTTCCTGATACTCAACCTGATGATCTTTGTGCTTTTTGCTCTTCTGTGTCTGTACTGATAACACTTCTTGCCGCTGCTTCTGGGAGCTTGTCTTCCACCTCAGGATGGTCTAGTGGGCCAGGCAATGTTTCCAGACTGGGGGAGATTGCTCTCATTCTGCTCACTCCTGCCCCCCTGCAGTTTGGCCAGTGAATCTTTCTCTCAAGAAGTAAAAGAAAGCTGTGTGAAACCAGGTCTCCTGGTTCCTCTATTCCTTTAGCTCCATTCTCCTGACTCTTTACCCCCCTGCCCCACTCTCCTCCTACTTAAAAAATAAAACAAAACACTATAAACTGTTTTAATGGTTACTAAGAATTCTTTGTTAAGCTTTCTGCTTCTTCCTGATTGAAAGGTTTTCTTGTCTTTGAAGGAGCTAGCACCAGCCTCCCCCCCACCCCACCCCTTTTCCTGAACATTGAAAAAAATACAGCCATGCTGTGGTACATATATGCAATGGAATATTACTCAGCCATAAAAAGAAATGAAATTGAATTATTTGTAGTGAGGTGGATGGACCTAGAGTCTGTCATACAGAGTGAAGTAAGTCAGAAAGAGGAAAACAAATACCGTATGCTAGCACATATATATGGAATCTAAGGGGAAAAATAATGGTTCTGATGAACCTAGGGGCAGGACAGGAATAAAGATGCAGACATAGAGAATGGACTTGAGGACACGGGGAGGGGGAGGGGGAATCTGGGACGAAGTGAGAGAGTAGTATTGACATATACACACTACCAAACGTAAAATAGCTAGCTAGTGGGAAGCAGCCGCATAGCACAGGGAGATCAGCTCACAGGGAGATCAGCTCGGTGATTTGTGACCACCTAGAGGGGTGGGATAGGGAGGGTGGGAGGGAGGGAGATGCAAGAGGGTAGAGATACGGGAACATACATAATAACTGATTCACTTTGTTATAAAGCAGAAACTAACACACCATTGTAAAGCAATTATACTCCAATAAAGATGTTAAAAAAAAATACAGCCATGCAAGGGAGAACAGGCCAGTTTTAAAATAAAATCATACAGTGGATTCCTCATACTTGTCTCACAGTGACATACATACCTTGAAAGAAGATCAGATCGTGTTGTCCTCTTAGGATAGAGTGTCTTTTAAGATACCTAACATTGAGGGATGAGAGAGGATGATGTCCTGATAATGAAGTGATACCAGGTCACTTTGTAGTATTTTACTCATTGACAGTAAGAAGACTGAATGGGGGCTTCCCTGGTGGTGCAGTGGTTGGGGATCCGCCTGCCAATGCAGGGGACATGGGTTCGAGCCCTGGTCCGGGAGGATCCTACATGCCGCAGAACAACTAAGCCTGTGCACCACAACTACTGAAGCCTGCACGCCTATAGCCCGTGCTCTGCAGCAAGAGAAGCCACCGCAGTGAGAAGCCCGTGCACCGCAGCGAATAGTGGTCCCTGCTCGCCGCAAGTAGAGGAAGTCCCGTGTGCAGCAACGAAGACCCAACGCAGCCAAAAATAAAAATAAATAAATAAATAAAATAAAAAAACAAAAACAGAAAAGAGAACTGAAGAATAGACCAAATTTGTTTAAAAAAAACAAAAGAAGACTGAATGGTTTAGTAGTTAAAGGCTTTGGAATCAGATATATCGGATTGGCCAGTTTTTGGCTATGCCCTTTGGAAGTTACTTAAAATTTCTAAGCCTCATTTTCCTTATTTGTAAAAAAAATAATAATGGTACTTGTTTCCTAGTGTCGTTAAAATTAAATGAGCTAGTGTATGCAAAGTGCTGAGCACGGTGCCTGTTACACAATGTGTGTTTAAGAAATAGCAATTGATGTTATTAGACTGTACACACCATTAGGTTTGGGACTCTGCTCTGCCAACCACTCTCCCCCTAGTGCCTAGCATAGGGCCACTTCCAGTAGCTACTCAGTAAATAGTTTTTGAATGACATGTGATGATGGCCAACTTTTCCCTCTTCTTCAGACCAGAGGTGTTTCTTAAATGCTACAGAATCTCTTTTCTGCATTCTTGTAACTCCAAAAAGCAGGTGATCTTTTGTTTTTTTTGTCTAAGCATTTATAGTGTCCACAAGAACCAGGCCATAGTATCACGTGCATTTCCACTGGTAGGTGTATGTGTTTGAGTAGCAGGAAACAGGCAGGGATGAACACCCTTTAGGCACAGTCCTATTATTAGGTTAAAATCTTTTAGCATTGTCCCATCATTAGTTTGTTTATCTATTGCCTATTTGGTACCAAATCCTACCTGGCACTGGGGTCTCAAATTCAAATATGACGTGGATCTAGCCTTCAAAAAAACATACAGTCTGGTGGCCGCGACTGACAAATAATACACAATTAAAATATAATATGAAAAATGCTATCATACATAGATATGCATGAGGTGATTTGGGACTTCAAAAAAGCACTTCAACCTGAAGGGGGCATGGAGGACATTGCAGGAGGAGGGACAAGTCTTACAGGGACATTTGTGCCAACCCAGGAGGTTGTCCTCTGTCTTAAAGGCAGTGAGAAGCCATTTAAGGATTTAAACAAGAACGATGTGGTCAGATCTGAAAGCCACCCTGGTGGCTTGGTGAAAAATGGATTAGAAGACTGAATGTTAGGAGACTGTGTATGAGTGAACAGTGAGAGCCTGAACCAAGTGAAGAAGTTGTAGTGGGAATGAGATGAGGAGATAAGTTGCAGAGAGAAAATAGGTGGCTGAATCCATAGGTTTTGGTGACCAGTTGGGTATGAAGATGGGAATGTGGGAGTTGGTGGAGGGTCATGGGAAGGAAGAATTAAGAGTCTCCCTGGTTCCTGGCTGATGCAGAATTGAGTGGGGAAGGAGAATGGGGGCAGGAGGTTTGCGGGGACATGATGTACTGAGCTTAGTAATGCTTGGCCTCAGGTGCCTGTGGGCTATCCTCTTACCTAGTAGGCTACTGGGTATCTGTGGTTTTGGAACTCATGAGACAGATGCACATTGAAGGTGTGTTTGGGAATCATTCCATCTCTAGCGTATCCCTTCTAATTCCTACTCAGCAGTCCTTCCACCCCACTGGGCCTCCAAGTAACTGATCTCTCACCCTGCATGTCCTCATCGCCTCCTTACTCAGCTTAACTCGTGGTCAGTCCTTGCAGTCCGTCTCTTGCTTCATCATATACTCACTTGACAAAACTATAATCCAGGTTCATTCCAGCTTCCCGCCTGCTGTATACCTACACTCACCAGACTGACTGGTCTCACTGACCTTTATACTCAGTGGGCTCTGTATACTGCCTGCAGTCACTCTATAACTGTGGTCCATTCATCCTCCTGTCCTAGATAAGGTGACTGCTTTATACCGTCACCCCTCTCTTCAGACTGTCAACACCTCCTCTCTCATCCTCACTGTCAGCTGATGATCTTGTTTCCAAGTTCACTGAGAAAACTGAAGCAATATGAGGAGAATTTTTACTATCACTGCCAGCAGTGCTCCCCCCTTTTCTTCTTATCATATATTCTTGTGTACATATATTTTTTAATATATTTGTAAATATATTTTTATTTCTTTTACCTTGAAAGATATTTGTCATTCTTACCTCTACCAGCTGCTGTCCCATTTCTGTCCTTTCCTTTGTAGAAGAACTCAAAACAGTTGTCTATAATCTGTCTTCAGTTTCTCACTTCCCATCTCTCATGAATCCATCCCAATAGGCTTTTGCCACCTAGCACTTCACTGAGACTGTTCTTGTTACTAAATTCATTAGTCAATTCTCAGTCTTAAATTACTTTTGAACGATCAGTGGCGTTTGACCTCCTGTGTGATAGACATTCTTCACTTGGCTTCCAGGACGACACTCTCTTGGTTTTCTCCTACCTCACTGGCCATTCCTTTCAGCCTTCTTGCCTGGGTCCTCTTTTGCTTCCTGGTCTCTCAGTGTTGGTGTACCACCAGGATCCAGCCCTGGTCCTTTTCCTTAGTGATTCCATCCAGCCTCAGGGCTTTACATGTCGTATTCCATGACCCCCAGACCTCTCTCCTCAGTGTGGGACTCACAGATCTCTCTCCCTCACTGCCATTTTCACATGGTTGTCTGACACCCCAAGCTAACAGGACCTAAGCTGATCTGATCTGTCTACCCTCCCGTAAACCTGTTCCATCTATAACTTCTCCATCTCAGTTGATGCCAACTCCATCTTTTCATTGGTTTAGACAAAACACTTCTGATACATCTTTGACTTCTGTCTGTGTTATACTCCATATTTAGTCAGTTGAAGAGTCCTGTTCGCTCTATTTCAGAATATATCCAGAATTTGATTACTTCTCATCATTGTCACTGCCATTCCTAGTCTAGGCACCATTTTTCCCCTCTGGCATTATGCAGTAGCCTTCCTGATTGTATCCTAAATAGTCCATATTCAACACAGCAGCCAGAGTGAGACTTTTAAAATA